ATGTTTATATTATAATATTGTTATTTATTAATTTGTTGATTTTTATAATTATTTAATTAAATAATAACTATATAATTTTATTTTATAGTTTATTTGGAGGCCGTACCATGATCAAGAAATTATGTCGTGCGTACCGCAACATGTCTGGGAGGGTTGTGAATATTGGTGTGCTGTTACACCATTGATCCATTTCATGTTTGTGGAGTTCCAATTTGCCGATAGAGTGTTGAGGCAGTTCGGCTTCCACCAACATATTCCAGTCATTCCAGAGAATCATGATGCTCTCCATCGATTAGATGGGCGGGGTAGGGTCGGTGAGGATTGGTCGGTGAGGCATGCTAACCATATCAATCATTGGAACAACAGGGGTTCATACTTGCCAACGCTCACTCCCATACAACCAGATGACTTTGACTTCAAGAGTTCGGATTACCTGAATTATTTTTGGGAACATGGAAAGCCGTTCTTGACAACGATCAGAGAAAGGCGACAATTTATAGAGTATACCAAAAAATTTGGTAAACCCGAGAAACCAAGAAGGACTGGGAGTGGGAGTGGGAGTTCTTCTCACCGTGGAGCAGAACAAGAGACAATGGATAATATCCCACCAGAATCTTTTGATCACACAAGATCATTAAAGTAATTATTATTAAATCATTAAAGTTAAATAATTAAATTTAAATAATTATTATTAAATATGTACTCGAGTAATTGAATCGCATATAATATAAAAATTTATAAAATAATAAGATTACTGCTGAGGTCTATACTGTGGAAGGTTTGGACAATTTCTTTTTGAATGCCCTTCACCTCTACATAATCCACACCTCTTCGGTTGGCCTTTCTCTCTAATATGTATATCCATACTGGTATGAATACGAGTAGATTCCGGTCGACCCGTTGGACTTCTACGAAGTAGTGGATTTGGCAACCATTCATCATGATCGCGATTGTCCCAATAAGATTCATTTGGGATCGGTCTGAACTCATGGTTGTATATATTTAATATCCTCTGTAGGTGAAAGCACTCATCAACATAAGTGTATGAATTGATTCCAGTATGCATACATGCAGCGGCTGCATGAGCACACGGATATCTCCACGCCTGAAAGCGGCCACAATCACACCATCTTTGTCGTAAATTAACAGTAAATGATTCTCGATTTGCTCCTTCGTTGCGACGTATGCATGCGATGACAACAAAAGTATGTCCAATTCGATCGAAGTCATGAACAAACATTGAGGTTGCCATACGCTCATTTGCTTCCATTGCTTCTACCACCGCCGGAGCCCAGATTTTACCTCGATTTATCAGACACTCGATCTCTTTCCCTTTATCAGACCAAACTTTAGCCAACCTAAAGTATGTCTCTTTCACCACACTCGCTATTGGGAGATGTCGTGTACCTTTTAGTACTGAATTAATGGCCTCAGCAAGGTTTGTAGTCATGTGTTCGTATCTCCGACCACAATCGTATGCTTGCGACCACTTCTCCCGCTCGATTTTCGACGCCCATTTCCAAACACGCTCATCTATGGCCTTCAAATCCTCCAATCTCTTGTCAAAATTTGGTTGGCGTAGTTCATATCCTGTTTCAAAATAGATATTGTGTTAAAGTCAATTTATAAACAAACACATAAATGAGTACAAATCCTGAAAATAAAACTTACCCATGCTGACTATCTCCCTACGAATACGGCCGTTATGAAACTTCTCAATACAATTCTTACCAATATGACGGATACAATATGCGGGATATGCGTGCGGAGGTGTCCAACGACTTCCTGGTCGTTCAATTGCTGCCAAAAGGCCAGTTCCTCGATCGGATATCAAGGAAACTCCTTCTTCTCGGACGACATACTTACGATTATTGAGAAAGAAGTCCCAAGCCTCTGTTGTCTCTCCTTCAACGATGGCGAATGCAATTGGGAATATATTTCGTTGACCATCCTGCGCAACTGCTATCAATAATATATGTCTGTATTGACCGTATAACCACGTACCATCTATTGGACCATACGTTTGCAAAATGGAAAACCTTCTATGCAAGACTTGAATGCCCAAAAGAGTCTATGGAATATTCTCTTCCCTTGAACAAGTTGATCTTCTCGGTCGTATGCAGGCATGGTCTGAGACTTCATGATGGTTCCAGGTATGAATTGTTTCATAGCTCGTAACAAATCAGGTAACTCATTGTATGATGTATCCCAATCGCCATATATCAACCTCCTTGCCTTCTCCTTCGCATGCCACACGGGTTTGTATTTTACATTGTATCCGAACTGGTCTCGAATAGATGCAGCTAACACCGAGCAAGGGATCCTTGGATTTTGTTCAACCAAAACCTTCACATATTGACAAATTACATCGGAGTCCAGTAGTCGGTGGTCTTGTTCGATAGAGTTTTGCAAACATGTGTGTGGACCATTGTACCTTGTGATGACCCAAGCATCTTGCCTTTGCATTTTGGACACTCTGATCAACCATTTACACTCGGGCCCATATTTAACACACTTTGCGTACAAAGTTTTCTGGTTGGACTCTGCAGTCTTGCAATCTACATGGCCTCTTATGCAATACTCTTTAATCGCTAGTGTAGCTTCTTTTTTTCCTCTGTATTGCTTCCCAACTGCTAATTCACCAGAGTTATCGGACAATTCAATCATATAGCCTGAAGTTAAATGTGGCATCTCCGGGAATTCAGGTGCCCTCATTGCTTCATAATCAATCTCCTGCATGTGAGGGGTAGTTGATACGATGTCGAATATTCATCAATATTGATATCAGCTTCATCACCATGGAACATGGCATCATCCTCAGCCAAAAGAGGTTCCTCAGTTTCTTCATCTTCACTGGAATCTCAAGTATCCCAGCGGTTTCAGCATCATACTCTGCGGCTCCAGATGTTCCACCAACTTCATTTGCGCTTTCCAACATCGCCACAAAGCTGTTCATCGACCTATATGTTGGGTTATCGAAATGACTCTCGAAACCCATTTGAGATGAAGTTTCAACCGCATTTATTGATGACCAGGCACATTAGATATATTACACAACTCAACAAATAACTCAATAATTGGAATATTTGTTGAGTCATGTAATTCAACCATAGTTAATATCATCGTCTTCTTCAAGTGGTACTGCAGCATACCTGACCGGATTGGGACATACCATAAATCTGTACCTCAAACCATCAACTTTAGCACGTATTTTTCTTTCTATCCTCTCCTTGATCTCTGCAAATGTGATGTCCCTTTTAAACATCATATTTATAGGTGTTCAGACTGAAAATAACTCCGACCTCATTTTCCATCATATGTCCATTGTAATGGACAATCGTGAAAAATTTGTTGCTCATTTCTCTACACGTAAAAATATAGATATTCAGAATAAATTACATTAATAATGTAATGAAAATTAATTATTTACAAAACTAAAAATAAATATAAATTATGTTAACAATTGTTTTATAAAAAAATACTTAAATACATTATTATTACGGTAAAAATATCAGGATTACATAATGGGAATTTTTTTCCCACTAAATCAAAATAAAAATTCTAATAATTATTATATAAAAATACAACTAAAAATTACACGAAAATTTAAATTAACAATAATACTCAAACTTAAATTTTCTGTATACCTAATCATCAAACTTACATTTTCTAATTTTAAATTATCATTAGTACTCTAAATTACATTACTATGGTCTCATGAACAAAATTTAAATGTATCATTCTCCTAACATATATGAGCATTCTTTCAACACGAAAAAAACAGAGTTCGCATGGGAAACGAGAAAGAACTTACGTGTTTTTGAACGACGTTAAACCAAAGCTCGAAAAATTACCGAACCAACAAAAATCTCCAATATCACTTCAAGCAGCAGCTTCAATTGAATCTAATGCAAAAAAAAAAAATCCCTCACTTGCTTCTGTAAGTTAAAACCAACTGCATGCAATGAAATACAATACCCACCCCTATTTTATAACAAGTAATTGAAGACTTCGAGTAAATTATTAGTCTCACGCTTCAGACGAATCTCACGCTTCAGACGAATCTCACGCTTCGGACACAAAGAAGACAGGCGCATGCAGAACGAATCTCAGAAGAAGAAGACGCCGAGATATCACGACCACCTGCAACCAAATATTCTCCATGTATAGCTTAAGACGCCGGGAAATCGAACGCCCCTGTAACCCTATTAACTAAAGACGTCGAGCACTCCTATTATTATATTCAACTGTTAAATCAACTCTGCATGCATGCAGAGATGAAGACGTTCAGCCCCCAGAATGCATGCACGATTCAGAGAGTAATGCAGAGATTCCGCCAGACAACAGGTGAAGACGCCGAGAGATCCACCTTGGCATTCCTATGCAGAAGACGCCGAGAGATCCCACTCCGAGAGATCCCAATTGCTTGAAGACGCCGAGCATTCCCATCAGACGACAGGTGAAGACGCCGAGAGATCCACCTTGGCATTCCTTGTAGCATGCAGAAGACGCCGAGATATCCCACAGGCCAATTGCTTGAAGACGCCGAGCATTCCCATAGTTTCATAACCCGAAAGACACCGAGAAAGCAATCATGGAAAAATTAACCCTAAAAACGCCGAGATATTTAAAGAACCACATTAAGCACTGTATATTTCACCCCATTTGGGGAAATAATAGGCAAAGGACATTAGTTGGGGAAAAAATATTCCCAACATGCATTATTCTGGCATTTTTGCCAGTTTTCTTTTGAGGTATAAGAAATAGATAATTAACTCTTTGTTTAATAAAATTAATTATTATTGTTTTAAAAGCAAGTGTTAAATATAATAATATATTATATACTTGAAAATAATTACAAATCTGAAACGTGTGCCTCGAAATATGTTAAAAGAATTTGAGAATACAGTATATGTGGGCACATCTCCTCTCTAATGTGTTGTCGTTATCCTTAGGTCTGAGTTGCGAAGTTGTGTCAACTCAACCCCCCCCCCCCTCCCTCTCTTCCTCTCACTTTGGCTTCAATATTTTTATCAATTACTCTTTCACTTTCACCAACACCGCATTACCTCTCTCTCCTTCTGCCTCTCTAACGTGCGCCGGTAAAGTAAAAACAACTTTTATTCAACAACACAGCTTCTTCTTTCTTCTCCCCCCTCTGTTCTTCCCTAATTCCGGTGATACTTGTTCCACTAAAAAAGACCCGTCTTTTTAACCCTTTACATTCCCTTGTCATCTACTAATGTTTTTTCATCTTCATAATCAGAAGTGTATCGTATCAGAAGGCCAACAAAGAGTCCTTTAAAAACCAAAAGATCCTGGAATTCAGGGGTGGAAGGAAAAGGTTGAAGCTTGAGCTCAAAGACCAACCTTTTATAAAAAAGAAACTATTACAATGGTTATGCTGCTTCTCTTGCTGCTAACGTGCGCCGCAGTTCCATTGGGTTCATCAGATCCAAACGACGAGGCGTGTTTGACTCACCTGAGCCAGACTTTGAGAGACCCATTAAAGAACCTGAGGAACTGGACTAAGTCGACCTTCGCAAACCCTTGTAGCGGATTCACGTCTTATCTGCCTGGTGCCACTTGTAACAATGGCCGAATCTACAAGCTTTCCCTCCCCAACCTCTTCCTCCAGGGTTCCATCTCACCTTTCCTTTCCAACTGTACTAATCTCCAGTCGCTCGACTTGTCTTCAAACTCTATCTCAGGACCCATCCCCCAAGATTTTCAATACCTGGTCAACCTGGCAGTGTTGAATCTATCGGCGAATCGTCTTGAAGGAGAGATCCCACCACAGATTACATTTTGTGCTTATTTAAACGTCATCGATCTTCATGACAATTTGCTCACCGGTCAGATTCCTCAACAGTTAGGCCTTCTAGCTCGTTTATCGGCTTTCGATGTGTCTTACAACAAGCTGTCGGGGCCAATACCGGCCTCTTTAGGAAACAGGAGCGGAATTTTGCCCAAGTTCAATGCCACTTCTTTTGAAGGAAATAAGGATCTTTATGGATACCCTCTGGCACCGATGAAAAGCAAAGGATTATCTGTTCTAGCCATTGTTGGAATCGGATTGGGAAGTGGACTTGCTAGTTTGGTGCTTAGTTTCACTGGAGTTTGTATTTGGTTGAAGATTACAGAGGAAAAGATGGCTGCCGAAGAAGGGAAAGTTAGTCAACTCATGCCCGATTATTGAAACCCTTCAATCTGGGATTAACATGTTTATTGAAGATCACCGAGTTAAAATGAAAAGCCCGAAAAATTTTACAGGTATGTATTATTTAGAGTTCTCTCCTTTTTGGAGAGGTTTTCTGGGTAGCTTTTATTTCATAATCTTCTTTTAGGTGATATAATATTTATTTTCAACAATCATCATCAACAATGTATAAAGCAATTCAATCGTGCTCGTTTTCAGTAAAATGGTGCAGTTTCTCACTACTATTAATCATCTTCTTTGTGCTTGCTTTTTCAGTTTCCATTGTATGGATAATGATGAATTATTTACTGTATATACTTTTTGAAACTTGTTTTTAGTTTTTTTTTCCCTTTAGTCTGCATATTGTTGATGAATGAAAGAACTGCGCCCTGGAATTTTGTCTGCTGTGACAAATTGGGATGAACAAAAATTATAGATAAAAAGAAAAGGATAAACTACTATAATTCAATTTTATTCTAATCATTGAGAAAAAATTGTCAATTTAATCACTAACATTTTTATACGGTAATCAAGTCACTTGTTATTAAATCACTAACATTTCCGACTGACATCCATCGACGGACGGAGGTTTGGTCATGAACAACCACGTTCTATATGGAAATCAGAGCCTGAGAAACAAATCTTTTCCTTAAAGCTGATTCAAGCTTTGAGCCAAGTCGGTCTTAACAACACAGATTCATCTTTCCCTTTGGCTCCACACCGAAATAAAATACTATTAGATGCTTACTTAAAAAAGTTGTCGAGATTATGCCTTTTTTTTGCAGGTGTTTAAATTCTTTTCTCAAAATAATTGTTTAACAATTTATTTTGTTACGAATTTAAGATCTTATTATTACCGTATTTAAAAAAAATTCATGACTGATAAATGTTTAATATTATATATTTGTATTATTATTTACCTTTCATTTATAGATTAAATATTATTGGTTTATCTTTAACTTTAATTTAAACAAGAATCTCATTGTGTTTATTTAGGAATTAATTATTTACTTAAAACTCTTAATTTGATTATATCATTATCTTTTATTTATGAATTAGTTATTTTATTTACTCAGAACTATTGGATTATAAATACTTCTTTCCTTTGATTTATTATTGAAGTTATGTTTTTTTCCTTTCATTATTTTCTTTCCACAAAGCTAAGCATGATCCAATCTATGCTTACTTTCAAATTGTATTATTCGATTATTTGAAAATTGGAAGTGACAATCGGTTTCTCTTAAAAATTATTACAACTTTAACTCAAAAAGTGTAGTTGATTTGAAGATTGTATTACTTGAAGTTTGGAAGTCGGATCGGTTGGTCGTAATTTGGATTCCTGTGAACAAACTTAGCAACTGTCTGTTAAGGGAAATCAAGATTGAGTTTGGTTTTCGGTGAGACACTATAACTCGAGTCGGACCTTTTCAGAACTTAAAGCTATTTTGGATCTAACGACGATAGACGTGGCTAGACCAACAAAGACTGAATTTTGGAGATAGACTTGAAAATTTTGGTCAACCGAAGAGAAAAGTTAGACGTTGGGGTTGGGTTCTGTTGACTGTAATTGACATTATGAATAAAAAATTTTATTTCGATAATCAATTGAAATTAAGGCTAAGCAAAACCTAAGGTCATGTCATCTTAATTGATTTATTTTATTTTATTTATTTTCTCATTATTTTTTATTCAATATTTATTTTATTATTATTTATTTGCTTTAATTAATTTTTAAAATCCTTCTTTTTTTTTATTTTTTCAATTTAATTCAAGAAACGATATTATCAAACTTCCTTAGTCCTTGTGGATTAATCATATTTTTTTTATTTTATTTTTTTATTTGAAAATTAGAAGTTATTTTTATTTGACAAATTCAACACTTGTCAAACCTAATGAATACGTGACACATAATATAAAATTTAATTATTCTTTTAATTTCAAAAAATCTCCACCAAAATTTCTAAAATCTCTAAATCTTTTTTTCTTTTATTCAGTCCATTATCATTGAATTTCTCGTTCAATTCATGACGTTTGTCATTTATAACATGTATCGTTGTTCGTTGTTTATCGTCCTTACGTAATATATCATTCGTCGAATTGCATCGAAAAGTGAAATCATCAGTGATGATGGTTCGACGATATAAGGGATACAACGAAAGTGATTGGTTCATTGGTGGCAGATGGAGTAAGAGAATAAATTTTATGATTTTTTAGAGAACTAAGGATTTAAAAAATAATGGAAGAAAATAAAAAATTATGTTACGGGTTCCGTATTTATATATATCCTACAAACGTAATTAGATAAATCAAAGGCACACATTTGTTTTTCAGCTAAGTATTTATGAAACCTACTTGGGGCTTTGCTAGTGTGAGCAGCATCTTCACGTCACATGCTTTTTTGTATGAAATTTAATACTATAATTAGGCAACCCATGTTGGCTTCATGATTAAAATTGTTTTAGTTATTAAGGCAACGGAAAATTAGAATCTACTTTATCAACATAAAATCCATTTACTTATCGTTGAACTTTGCTTCTATGATTAACTTTTCTTCAGGTGGGAAAAGAATGTCGGCAGTTTATTTTCCCACACAAATTAAAACATATATGAAGTGGGTGGGTTTATGCTTAAATAGGGGTGGAATTAGAAGAAAATTGGAAATTATACTTAAAATATATATTTATTATTCTAGTTTATAATTATATGAGTTTTAAAGAGGTTAACTTAAAATTGTATCCTTTTAGAGTTCAAAATGTAGTTTTATTATTGTTTTAGTTTTAATACTTTGGGTTTTGAAAGGGACTAAACTTGACATTTCACCATTTAAGGGCTAGAATATTATAGGCTCAAATTTTCAGTAGTTTATTGTATTAGAGTAAAATTAAAAAAAATATTATGATATATCATAATTTTTGGCCAATTTCCCAAAATATCACCCTTAAAATCATATATTCTCTGTCAGGCACCGTTCAGACTTTATTTCCCGATCTAACATCCTTTGTAGGAAGGCGCGTCTTACGCTGATCTAGCACCACGTGGGGTAAGGCGCGCCCCCTGAAGCGCGCCTTACGTTGACATGGACACACGCTGGCAAAGGCGTGGCGGGGCGCGCCTTATGCCACGTAGGGGTATAACGCGGTGCAGGGGCCACGCTTTTGTTTTAATTTCAGACCGTTCACACCCCTATAAATACCTCCATTCTCATTCATTTTCATCACACCAAATCCTCTCAATTTCTCTCAAATCCTCTCAACTTAAGGTATATTTTATATTATTTAATATTTTATTTAATTATTTTAATATTTTATTTAATAATTTTTTGTAGTTATAAAATGGAACGTGGTCTGCTTCGTTTGGATGGAAATCATATATCGAGTCATTATGGTAATACGGTAACATTTTTACATTTTAATTTAATTTAAATTATTAGTAATAATTTTTTTATTTAATGTATGATTATTAGTTTATAAATTAATTTTTGTAATTGTTAATATTTTAGGAGAGGGGCCGTATATTAGATTATTTTATTATGAACCTTAAGTTAGCGATACCTACATGTGTCTGGCCGTATTTAGTCGAGGCTGGATTCGGTCACATAGGTAGATATGAAGGCCATTGTAAGATAGAAACATACCTTATTTCTGCATTAGTGGAGCGGTGGAGGCCGGACGGCCAGAGACCCACATATTTCATCTTCCGTGTAGAGAGTGCACGATTACGCTTGAGGATGTTTCTATGCACTTGGGGCTTTCGGTGGATGGAGATGTGATTTCAGGGATGACGCACAATGACTGGACTACTTTGTGTCGGGATTATCTAGGAGGTGTCCTGTGAAATTTTGATAGTGGTCGGATACCGTTAAATTGGTTAGATGTAAATTTTCAGGAGTTGAGCGATGACACCTCTAATGATGAAGTTAAAATGTATGCATGGGCTTGCATACTGCAGCTGATAGAAGGGTTGCTGATGCCCGGAAAAATCGCGCAACTAAGTTCACTGTATGTGGTTGCGACATCTTGGCGACTTTCATCTGGCTGGATCACTGAGTTGGGGCTCGGCAGTTTTGGTTTTCCTGTATAGGGAGATATGTCGAGCAAATGACTACAGGAAAAATGCTATCGGCGGATGTCTCATTCTGCTGCAGTCATGGGTATGGTATCGATTGCCCTTTTATGTCCTGTTGTGAAGAACTCATTCATATTTCCGCTACTATTGAGGTAATTATAAAATTGATTTCGTATATTAATCATTTTATACAGTGTATAATAAAAAATTCCCTTAATAGGTGGTCTACTGACAGGAAAAATCATTGGGAGCTACCTGATGATTTAGAAAAAATAAGAGTGCTAATCGATCAGAAGATTGGAACAGAGGTATGCATTTTAATGTTTAAAAATCTATTTTGTATTATTGTTATATAATTAGATTATTATTTTGATAAAAACTATATATATTTGTTTTAGTTTGAATGAGTTCCATATTGTCATGATGATGTGAAGATGTGCATCCCACCTGAGTTGAGGGGCCCATCAGATGTTTGGATGATGATGATTCATTTGATCTGTTATCTGATCGTCGAGTGGCACTCCACTGATTACGTGCTCCGGCAATTTGGTTTTGTACAACCAATTCCGGAAGTACCTCGCAATATGGACGAGTTGCATATCACAGATCAACGCGGCAAGTCGGATACAGATTGACTGGTGAAGCATTATGAGTGGGTCGTGATGTGGGAGGATCGGCATCGGCGTTTTCCCAGTAGAGAGCTCATTTATGATGACCTCTTGACGGTTGCATCCGGTTATTATGAGTGGTTCAACAGTAACGGGAAACCGTTTCTGCTTTCCGATGATACACGAGGGTGGAGCTTTCAGCGACGTCGACAAAGACGTGCATTGTCACAACCCCATCGTCCCCTGACTCGTGGACGGAGAGCAGGTGTTTCCGGTTCGTCCTCAGCTGCACCAGCAAGACCTTCACAACATCCACCGTCTGCGGCGACTTACACCCTGTAGCTATATCTGATGCTGCCACCACCTTTCCCTTACCAGATGCCGCCGCCGCCACCGTCTCCTGGTTTTATGACCCCGCCGCTGCCACCGTCACAGAGTTATATGACCCCTCATAGAGGATATTATGGGTCTATGTTTGCAGATTCGACTTGAGGTTTATATGATGATTATTTGGCGGGTGCAATCTCA